TCCGTGGTCGCTACTTTTTTATGTTCACCAATACTGGATAGATGATGTTTCATACTAGTTTAAGATTTCTTGCCATATCGTCCAAAGATTTTAGAGATATCATACAGCCAGAGTCTGAATTGTAACAACATTTGTTATTTCCAAAAGTTTTCAGCTTCTATGTGTATGACAACACCACTTTTTATGCTTAAACACTCATACGGTAGACATAACAGTCAAAACTTACAAACAAGTGAAAAAACTAAACTTACTGAATCATGTTTGGCAGTTAACATTTTCACTTTATCCATCATTGATTCGAGTTCCTAAAACAAGAAAATATTTACAGAGTTCATTCCCAGTTTTTGTGTGGATTGACAGAACAATAAAAGTATAACTTGTGACATGTGTAATTAAAAAACACGCCACCACAAGGTAAACAATAAAGATTATTAAACTACTAACTTAAACTAGAAAGTCTATATATATATATATATATATATATATATATATATATATATATATATATATATATTCAGATGTTAAGTAAAACATATTCTGGTAAATATTTGGAAAGTACTTCCCTCAACCACTGTCGCTGGATAGATAATAAATCACTTCGTTCTGGGTAGCAAGCACATTATTCATCCACATGAATGCCTTTCAGTTACTCATATCACAATCAGTAATATGTACAACCCAGCCACATCACTTAATAATAATAATAGCTGTATCCTAAACAGGACTTTTGGTACATATATGGAATTTCCAGCATGCAGTGCAGTACTGCAACTAATATTCTCATTACAGGGCATTTACTTTGATAATATTATTCAATAAGAAATGAATATAAAATCAAATTAAGTGAAAATACCCACAGCAATATGTTAGTGAGAGAATAAATAAGGCTGTTTACTTGGAGTTCCGCAGTACGTTGGTAATTTTCTGCCTTACAATTTTCTCATCACATAAAATGCGTGCTAAATAAGGTATTGTAGAGTTTTTATACTTAGTCGTCCGAGCATGAGATCTTATAGTTACTCCTAGTTCTACCTGATGAGATGCAAGGAGAGAATTGTGTAATAGAGACGATGTTAGGAGTCGGACAAGATAATATTTGCTAATTTCTTTCTTGCAGCAGTCCACGTATTAACCAGTTGGTTTAGCAGCATCCCACTCGCCCTACTGATGGCCTCTAGTGCTTTTCACAGTATAACAAAGTCTTTCCTAAATAGTCCGGAAAAGATTTTAGGGGGAGTAGTAAAAAAGGATAGACAAAATGCAAGAATTAACAAACGGTAACAGTAAAGACGGAATGATACCAGATCGTCTTACGTAAAACTTCAAACGAAATATCTTTCTGGAAACTAACATGATGTGGGAAGACCAGAAAAAATTAGAGGAAATACACAGTCCAAGGTATTTAACAGCCGATTTAGTTTCAACTTCAGTGCCATCTATGACAGTGGAACCATGCGAACTTACCAGTTCATGTAAGTCACGCTTGGATCTGAAAGTGAAATTAACAACCTGACATTCGGAGAGATTAAGCTCAAGACCATTTGACAAGGACCACTGACTAATTTCTGACAAAAAGTCATTCATTTTAGAACAGTCTGGCTGAGAAGTAACGGACACAGAAATAGTCAGACCATCGGCATACTTAGCAAAACTGGCCTCATCAGAATGGGGCAAGTCATGTAAGAAGAAGGAAAACACGAAAGGAGGAAGAACAGCTCCTTGAGGGACGAACACCAGCTAGAGTAAGTGAAGCAGTGGAGGACTTCCCATTGTAAACAGTATACCGCCTCCCTATCAGAAAAATACGAATGCAACCACTTATTAGTCCAGCACTGTGTTCGTGTCGCAGCAAGCTTGTTCAACAAAAGAGGCCTAGGTATAGAGTCAAGGGCAGATGTGTAATCTAGGAAGGCACACAGAACATATTTGGCACCTCTATCTACACTAGAGACGATATTATGATATAAGACGACATTAGCATCTAAAGTACATCTACTATGTTTATACACAAATTGATTACGGCCGTTAAAAGCCTTCAATGAAGGTTTAAGGTTACGCAAAAGCAGTTTTTGCCATTATCAAAAGAAAGAAGTAATGGCAATAGGTCTGAACTTAATGCTCAGTCCGCTTGATGATTTAGGCACGGGAACAATTAAATTGACTTTTTAATGCAGCTCAGATTGCTATTTATAGTATGAAGTAGACTATATATTTTGAACTGAGTATTAAGAGCTATTGTTTTCTGTACACACAGTTTGCGATTCCTGTGGGTAATTTAACTGATAGTTCAGAATTCAAGCCCACATGCTCTGCCGCGTCCCTTTTTCTTACCTCTAGAACATTTTCACTATCATGTCCACGATTGAAGGATGAAATAATTAATATAGACCATAATTCATGTCGTATTTACAATGGCGCAGATGTATTCAGTCTCTTTAACCTTCATACTCCTTTCTACCATTACTCATTCTGTTTCACTCTTATACTTGTCAAAACTCTATTGATTCTCTTCATCGCTCATTTTCTTGTCTACCTTTGTGTGCTATTTGGAACGTGGCAACTCGAACTGCTGCATTTCGGTGCCAAGTTCTATGTCGAATCCAGACAGACAGAGAGTTATAGAGAGATACATAGAACCAATACTCTTCCCATGTTGTGGGAAAGAACATTTACTTAAGTGGCTATTGAGTGAAAGACAGTATTGCAAAATTCCCTTTCCTTCACTAGTTTACCATGTTGTTATAATGTGTTTAGATCAATTTCTTTCACTGGAGAACTACTGCGTCTCTACATGATAGGTGTGTTTAAACAGTCTTCACAGACTTGTGAAAACCACTATGTGAGTTGCATAGTTAAATCTATTAGATATTATTGTTTTCTAACATTTTAACATCATAAACTTTAATGTCCTCTATTAGTGATCAGATGTAATTTTAGCGCTTCGGAAGTAAACAGAGGTTCAGAATCATGCAAATGTTTGTGGAAATAATGCTGAAAACTCTTAGAATAACACGAGATCCGTATGATACAGTTTTAAAAGTGATATGTCAGCATTATATCGACATACAAAAGCGACAATCGCATAATTTTAGGCTTTGAAGGCTACTAAAATATCTACACATTTCTACTAATACATATTAGTAAGTAATGTGTTTCTTTCTTTTCTTTATGGATTAAGCTTGGAGACCTGTTGATTGAACAATCTCAAAATTATTCCCACTGTCGAATAAACTGTTGTAAATACAAACCATTAATTCCTAGTCCTGATATTTAGTTGGTGGGGTCTACGTGCAAATTCCATTTATTGGATTACCAATTCTACACCAAATAGCGCGCCAAGATTCCAGTAGTTTGAATTGACTCAAGCTCGTCGAGCTGAGTCAGACTGCGTACATCGCTCCAAATGAATGAGACAGACTTCCGGTGTTTGGATCACTTCGATCTGGTTAGGAAACACTACTGATTTCTTTGAGTGACATCTAATTACACCTATCCATCAATCAATAGTGTATAGCACACGCATTCAAGCCATTATCACATAGTTAATGGTACTCACTTTGAGCAGTTTATTATGTTGCATTTTACAGTAGTCCATTTGATTCTGTATTTCTTTATCATGTTTCGCTTCACTTAGTACGAATGAAGCTGATAATGAAGCGAACTGATCCAGTTCTTCGATAGTAGATTGCAATTTTAGATCGGATTCACGATAAGCCGCTAACTAAAAGTGAAAAAAAAGTAGAATGGAGATCCCAATACCTTTATGAGTGAAAACAATTAATGATGTGTAATTATCCATTTATATTATATGTTAAAAAAGACTGATCAACAAATACAGTAGTTACACTTTTATACATTCTGAATATTGTCACTGGATTTCATATTGTGATCCAGAATCACAAACAACTGGTTATAGCAGTCTGAGGATGTACTTCAACTTGATCTGTTATCTATTAATTGAGCTTTTGTATAAGTGGGAGTGACTGAGAAATATTAGGACACCTGGTCTAAACCGGCCACAAAGCCACTTTTGAAGAGTTCTTCTCCAACACATCAACTATCGGGTACTTAACAAATCGCCGAAAACATTCAAGTACTGCATAATCCGAAACAGCAGAGGCTAACGCAATCCGCCTGGGACAACCGGTGCTCTGTGTGAAGAAGAAACAGGTCCAACAACTATTACTGCTCTGGCCTGCTGTGGAGTCTGCAAATTTATAAATACCTTATTACACCGGCCATTTCGATATGGCCCTTCGTCCTGTACATATACATTCCTCTATCCCTTGTCATTACGCTTGTATTAACTAACCTTTTGTTTTCTTATTTAAACGTAGTGAATAACTTACCCACTGACATACATACAACGCACATGAAACTCAAACCAAAAAAACATTTTTCTCTACCGCTGTCGTTGAAATGATCATTCATCCATCTGAAGTTCAGAATCAATATTATATCTTCTCGTCTGCTGTGTCGGACATCAGGATATTTCATGAAATCGATTATCTACAATTTGCACTGCATCAGCCAGTGCATTTGAGGACGGAATTTCGGATGAAGACGCTACTTACTCGGCATCACTGCATACGCAAGTGATACTTGTGACCTAATTCCCCAAAACTTGGCAAAATATTGTCCTTTCTCAGATGAAGCTGTACTCAAAACACATAAATAAGTCTTTACCATTTGATAACGTATAATAATACATCAATAGTTTACACACAATGATAAGTTTTGTTATTGGTAATATTTCGAGCAAAATTACTGCCCGTGTTCACACCACTGTTGGAATCGTTTTGTTCACACATTTATGATTTGTACTCATATATATATATATATATATATATATATATATATATAGTTCATTACTTTTGCTCATTCATGTTTTTTGTATTCAGAATTATATTCCAAGTTGCTGATAGTTGTACTGAGTCACCCTTTTTACATGTATCCGGTGTGACTTTAATGAATATCGATTCTGTTACAAGTCTTTCTTTCCATTTGTTCATGTTAGTTTTTAGAATACACACATTGTTCCAATCGATATTGTGGTTTTTTTGTCCCATGCATGTGCAGCTATCGATGAATTTTTTTCAAGATTCTTGTAGGCTTGTGTTCCTGTTGGTTGACCTTTGGTTAGGCGTTTATGTTCATTCACTCTTATTTTGAGTGATCTGGACGTTTGCCCCACATATTTAGTCGGACAGTCAGCACAAGATATTTTGTAAATCAAGTTGTTTTTATCCATCATTTTTATGGGATCTTTCAGTTGATTTATTTTATTTTTGATTAGATTTGTCGGTTTAAAAGTTGTGCGAATGCCGATATTTTTGAGATTCCTTTGAATTGTCTCTGATGTACCATTTTTATATGGTATTGTGACGGTTTTTTTGCATTCTTCCATCTTGTTATTCTCCGGTTTTACCCTCTTTTTTCTCTTTTTTATATTATCTTTTATAAATTCTTTTGGGTAGTTATTTTCGAGTAGCATTTTGAATAGGACGTTTATTTCTTTACACTGGTCCTCTGGTGTTGTTGTAAGTCTACGTATTCTATCTGCAAGACCTTGTATTAATCCTCGTTTTACCGTGAGGGGATGAGCTGAGTGACAATCAACGGAACTTCCAGAGTGTGTGGTTTTTCTATATAGCGTCGTTTTAATGCTACCATCTGTTATTCTTCGTATTTTGCAGTCTAACATAGGTAGTTCCCCAATTTCATTCTCCACTTCCATAGTGAATTTCATTGAGTTGAAATGGCTGTTTATGTGTGAGAAGAGTTTCTCAATATCGTCTTTTTCATTACATCAGCATTTAATTGATGACCTGAGTGGTTAAATGCATTCTCTTCTCAATAATCCATGAATATGTCAGCTATTATTGGTGAGATGGGCGATCCCATGGCTACTCCTTCATTTTGTTGGTATATTTTCCCTTCGAATGTGAAATATGTAGTTGTCAGACAGAATTCCACCCCTTTTATTATCTCTGCTACGGATAACTGTGTTCTGTCTTTTAGGCCATTATCTTCTTTTAGTCTCTCTTTCAGTGCATTCATGGCCATTTGAATGGGTATTTTCGTATAGAGACTGTTTACATCAAAGCTGACTAGTATTTCCTCTTCCTATATTTTAGTGGTTTTTAGTCGCTTCACTAATTCAAATGAATCTACTATTCTAGCTTTTGAGTTGTCTCTTGTTGGTCTTAGTATTGTCGAGAGAAATCTTGATAGCATATACGTTGGTGTGTTTCTAAAGTCTACAATCGGTCTTATTGGATATCCCTCTTTATGCAATTTTATCTTGCCATATATTCTAGGTATATTGCATGATTTTGGCATAATTTCAAACCATTTTGACTTACCAATTACTTCTTTCATTTGTCTGACTACCTTTGCTGTTTTTTTCATTGTTTTGTTTGTGATTGTTTCAGCTGACTTCGTCATTAAGGTAAAGGGTCCTGATTGTAGATGTTCATTCATCTTTTCATTATATGTCGTTTTGTTAAGTATTACTGTTGTGTTGCCATTGTCTGCTTGAGTAATGACAATGGATTGTACACTGTGTTCCTTATTACGAAACACTGAGATACATTTTTACTCCCCTAAGTTTCTCTGTTGCGACGCCAACACTAGTCCTGGGTTATTCAGAAATACACCTTATACGATAATGCCGAGTAGAACCAGCATTGCAGACAGGCCAAGTAAGTGGTTTAGTGATCCAACTTGTTTAGTCAGACAACGAAGAAAACCCAAACCAATGTTCCATCCATCGATCGCCATCAGTTTATGCCAGGAACATAATTGTGACAGTCTAGGTATTTTAGCGCAATGTGACAGTATACGGCTATTAAGAACAACAAAACTTTTTTCAATAATCCTTTTGAGTTATGAAAGTTAGAATAATTGCTTTTTCCGCATAGATAACCTAAATTTGTAAAAAATAATGTAAAAAAAGGTGACAAAATATTGTAGCACTATACCTGAGTAGCGAAATTCCGATCCAAATCATCTGCGCTATTGGTAAGAGATGTAAGGAGTTCCTGAAGAGCTGTAAATTTCGGAACTATGATTGTTTCAAGACAAGTTTTTGCTTCTGTAGCCTGTTTGTCAGAGAACTCTTTAAGTTGTCTAGCATCATCTGTACACTCATTGGCCAAAAAAGTACGTAACTTCTGGATCATTTCCCGTTGCACCTTTACTGTTTCACAGGCTGATTGTACAAGTTTCTCCCTTAAGTTATCTTGGAATAAAAAAGTAGACAATCTTACCAAGTAAGTGGATACGATTATTAAAAGAGTAAGAAATCTATCTGTTGTAAGCAATAGTCTACCACTTTTCGTTTGCATGAAAAAGGCAAACACTACCAGGGATTTAGTTAAACTGACAGATAACAGAATTTAAGCTGTAAAACATTCTTTTGTTACAGACTGAGACCTACATAACTTCTATTTACAGGAGAACTGCAGGGATAATTGTGAGTCATTTCTGTACACATGCATTCTGCGCTTATGTCAATCTGAGATAAGGGATATGCAATTATTCACTTCAAGAATATGCAGAAACCGCCGTCGGTGTCTTTTCCTCACATCTACTTCACACCAATCATTTTTCAATCATAAACTGAATGTCGCAATCCTATTAAGAGAAAAACCTTTCAACACAACCAGAAGTCGCTGATTCAGATGGTCAGTCAAAATACTGTCATTGTTATACAAATAAATTTAGACAATTAGTGTAGTTACCATACACCGAATTACTTTAGGTTACATCCTCAAACATCGCCAAAGCATCTGCACAGGAGCCGATATGTCAACAGAGGCCGAGCACTTCGGTCTAATCAATCCAACTGGAAAGTCCAAATTGAATTGAATTAGTAGTAATTTGAAACTTCTTTTCTGGCCAAACAGAATCAGTTATCCTCTTAAACCAACTTTCATTAAAATATTTTCATATAACTTACAACCGAACAGTCCAGGATATTATTCGGTAAACTGACGGTTTTCGATGTAGAGCTTTACAGAAAAGTGCAGTATTTCAAGTCAACACACTTTAGTGTAAACAAATAAAAGGAATGCAAAGAAGTTACCGAAAACGTAAATGTATGGGAGAAAGGACAAGTACTTGGAGAATAACTATAATTCAATGGATCTAGGAGTTTGTAAGTGCATCAGTGGTTGAGCAGTAGGATGCGTGCCATTCATACACGTAGTCTAGGATCCAATCTCCTGAAACTAGTTTAGCAGGGAGTAAAGGAAAGTTGGGCGTGAGACTAACACCTCCGCCCAATCCCGTAGAAAAGGAATAACACCACTGCTACTGAAAATTAAAAGGTCAAAGTTTGAAGCATGCATTCATAGTTGACCCGCCTCTTAAATATGACATAATATATTTCTGCTTTCTGTTTACCTCTTTATGTGGTAAGAGGTAAACGGACAGCGAACATAGGATTTTTGATATGATTACGCTGTTTTACGTAAATGAAAACAAATTGAACATATGTCCCTAAGGCGGTACTGTGCACCCAATCAACTTTATTTTTGGTTCAAATTATGTGCAGGTGCACTTACCTTCTTTGGCTTTAAGTGTGTGAAAAAGTTTTGCACATGACAACACTAATAATTCATTAGAAAAAATTAAGAAAAGGTAAGTCGATTATTTCGACCGATACACATTGCATTTTTTAAAGAAATCCACACCGAATGGTTTTAGTGACAAAATTTGCCCATCTTTTGGCACATTCATAAATCGAAAAAGTAAGTATGTGGAGTCTGGAACAGTATAGTTCTTGTTAGATGTTAAAAATAGAAACATTGTACATAACTTTGGAGTGCAATCTGAAATACTGTGTACTGCTTGTCGCTTCGTCTCCTCACGGGTCCATTCTGTCTGCTTGCTTCACTACCAACCCTGTTGTATACTTTGGATTTTGTAGGAACCTCTCATCCTCATCCGAAGACTGTTTTACAACCAGTGCACAGCTTCTACTGGTAGGCACGACTTTAGCAGTGAACACTTTTGTGGATTATATTAACAATTTGTAGCAGCGGACTTTAACTGTACTAACAAGTAACCAATAATTTATAACTCGTTAACTGTATTATTTATAATATACTGTTACAATATTTTCTCACTAACTTGGATTCTTATTCTAATATTTGTACCGTTACCAAGCTCGCCATTAAGTCTCCTACAAATATTCTTAAATGAAGTGCAACTGGGATTAAAAATAAATCGCTCTATCAGCAAATGCTTAAGTCGGGAAATCAGTCTTCAAATCATTATTTATTGCTAATGTGAAGTAAATACTGCACAAAAGGATGCGAAATTCTCCCTCCCAAACTTCACCTACGCCAGTCAATAAAAGTACAAGACATTACACAACCTTATATACTCCTAATTGTTGGTCAAAAATTGATGTGTTGGGGGACTGCTATGCATTGTAACACGAAACTGTTCTGTACACTGAGATTTAAAATGAAGTACTAGATATCAGTCAGCAAGATACCTAGTACAGGGAAGTTTACCTGTAGTCTTCCGGAAATTTACGTGCTCTGCAAGATCGCGTAGTCTGTAGCAGTGCCACAGACGGGAAGTTACTATACCATTCAGGGTAGATCTCAAGAACTAATTTTACGAATGTCGTGACGGCAATTGGAGAACCTTATACTACCAAATACACTATATTACCAGTCCTTTTCTCTCTGGGAAAAATATTTCACTTGAATGCAATCCATTCTTTTCTAACAAGGTGAATCAGACACACAAAATCAGTGAAGTTGGCAATCAGTGTGAATAGGAATAAAGAAAACTTGAATAGTCTTCTGACTGAGCATACTATGTGTCTAAAAAGCAATGAAAACCAACCAATGTACTTACTTGTACTATCACGAACAAAGTAACAGAAACTCTCCATTTTGAAAGCAAGTGCAGAAATATCAGACATTGAAGGTTTTAAACGCTCAGGTAGCCAATTATTGGGCAACGTATTCAGACGCTCGAGATTTTCTTTATCCAGAACAGTAAGGCGGGCCACCTTTTGGTGCAAACCGTTAACATCACTAACGGCAGTATCAGCTGTTGATAATAATGAAGTCGCTTTCTCATGAAGAAGTGATTCAGTCTTTTTATGCTCCTCACGCAGATAATCTGTTTCTTCGTAACGCTGTTTTAACTTCAAGAATCGTGCACGTAAAGTTTCCTAGCATAGATATATATATAGATATTATAATTAAATTAGTAATGTACTTTCACTTGTAAGTAATGAGTTAATTGTTATAACGGTTGGTAGATCACTACTAAGTTAACAATTGTTCGCCAATCAGATGTGGAAGTTGAGTTTTTGCTTTACAAACTTGAATTTTCAGCACCGGTGTACGGGTCTTTGATACCTCAAAGGGAAAACTGTACAAAACTCCAAGCCTATTATTATAATATTATCATTCCCTTG